AATTAGGGTCAGACAGTTTTGCTCAAGTTGAATATTTAACTTGCTCTAAAAACAGCTGGTGAAGATGTGCAGACTGAAGCACTGGTTCTTTTAATAGTGAAGCATTGCTCCTCAAATTCAGACTGTTTGCTTCCTTGGCCTTCAAAAGTAGAAAAGCCAACAAGAACTGGGCGTTTGTCGAATTACTGCTGTGTAATATCCTTCAAAAGCAAAGCAGACATTTGAAACAGTTTCTTAGACCTGAGAAGCAAAACCATAATGAAAAAACAGACGAACAGAAAGACAAAGAAGAGGAGGCAGTGAGAAAGAGATGACAATGAACTATCTGAGCTCTCTTGGATATGGCACAACAAATTGGCACAATTTCTACCACCAGTGTGTCAGCACTGATAGATTAAGAAACACAGTTTAATGTGCCATATCCTAACTAACAAAAAAACATATAGCATGTCACTATGTGGCTCAAATTCTAGAGTGAATAGCAATGAATGCTCATGCTAACATGGTAAACAAAAACGATCTTCTTCCCCTGGGTGTCCACATTCTGACCTTCTCCTTGTACATGGTCCAACACAAGTCACACACAAGCCAACACAAATCAACAGAGCACCTTTGCTGGATGATGTCACTGTCCAGTGCAGAAAAAGTTGTAACATAACCAACTCTTTCAATGCATAGGGTTGCAGCATTTTGCCAGAGCCCCCTGCAGTGCTGGCTGAGGGGAATATAATCCCCCATATAAATGAATGGAGAGCGCTGCATCTGAACACCTGTTAATTGTATGTTGCCATATACGGATTTAAAAGGTTGGGCCAGTGACAGATGCCATTCATTGTGAAGTAGCTTTGCAGCCCTTCAGAGCTCAACAAATTCAGTACGCATCCAACTACACTACAGTTGTATTTGCATAACATTGAGAAGGCTCAATGTTATGCAAATATCCTCTGACACTGTTTGAGCCAAGTGAAAGCCAATCCAGATTCCAACAGAAACTGAAGGACAGACTTGTTTGGTTCTTCATACTCTCCAGCTTCCCAGTTCTCTACGAGTTATGGGAACATAAAAAAGAAATACGACTTGTGGAAACAAAATGCCAACATACATACCGCATGTCAGAAAACTGCCTGGCCTAAATTATCTGCTTAACACAACATACTGCATAACTATATATCACCAAAGTGATATAGCCAACTGCTTTGTATTTATGTGTGTGGATCATCTCCCTATATTTTTATTTGGAAGGTTTTCATAAGGTTCCTATAACGTTTTGGGGGGGGGGGCATACGGAAATTCTGGGGGTGTGAAAAGATTTGTGTTTTTACAACACCACCAGCCTAACATTAATAAAACATAAAAAATATGCATGTGTTCTTTGTGACAATAACATTTCCAGTCATTTTTAAATATTTATTATGAAGGTCAACAAGTTTAAACAAACTTTGCAACTTTGTTTTGGATAACAGAAAATTACTTTGCACTGTACAATTTAAATGAAGAAACCATATACTTTTTTGATAAAACTTTCAGTTAACAATCCAATGTCCTTACGCACAGCTTCACCACTTCAATGTCTGTCCTCAGATTGTGGAAGTGCACTAACCACCTACAAAAAAAAGTGCATTAAATAAACTGGAAATAAATAAACTGTTTTGATGGATTTAACAATCGATAATTACTAACCTGAATTCCCCTGTGGGGTGCATACTTTAAAGTCTCTGCAACAAAGTGTTCAAAGACTTGCTGGGCCACTGCCACATGTATTCTGCAACATGCATCTTAGAAGAATAGAGAAAAAGAAAATAGTTATTATGCCCATGTTATGTGATGTGTTGTGATGCTTTTTTATGAAATAATATTTGAGGCTATGTAATAACTTAAATAACAAACATTTTCACTTGTGCACTTACCCTTTATGACTTCATATAAAAGCAGGTCTTCAAACCTTTACCTTTTCTTCCCTTTTCGGCCTTTTCAGACTATAGGCTCGTAGAGAATGTTACTAAAAGTTGTGGGAACGGTCCTTCCTACCTGGAATGATTGTTTTGTTATGGCAGTCAATTTCATGTGACCAAAATGGACTGACATTGCCATTCCTAGAACTATACTACTAGTGTGGTTGTGAAAATTTGTTGTCTTCCATCTGTAATACCCCGGTTCTTTTATTGGACAGATCTGAATAAGGAAGGAGTCCGTCTTTCTTCATTTTAGTGCTGATTTATTTAAACCACAAGCAAAGCAGATGTTAACACAGTTTCTCTTGGAAATGGAAAAAATGCACAATATTTTCTGCAAACAGTGATGCATAGTTACTTCTTATGCCATAAATTGAACAAAAATAAAAAATAAAAACATTATTATGGCATGGTGCAAAAGTTTGGGCACCCTACACAATCAGTACTTAGTAACACCTCCTCTGGCAGATATCACAGCTTGCAAACGCTTTTCATAGCCAGCTAAAAGTCTTTCAATTCTTGTACTTGGGATCTTCTCCCATTCTTCCTTGCAAAAGGCTTCTAGTTCTGTAATATTCTTTGGTCGTCTTGCATGCACAGCTCTTTTAAGATCTACCCACAAATTTTCAATGATGTTTAAATCAGGGGACTGTGATGGCCATTCCAAAACCTTCAGCCTGCGTCTCTTGAGGTATTCCATAGTGGATTTCGAGGTATGTTTAGGATCATTGTCCTGTTGTAGAAGCCATCCTCTTTTCAGCTTCAGCTTTTTTACAGATGGTGTGATGTTTGCTTCCAGAATTTGCTGGTATTTAGTGGAATCCATTCTTCCCTCCACCCGTGCAATGTTTCCTGTGCCACTGGCTGCAACACAACCCCAGAGCATGATAGATCCACCCCCATGCTTAATAGTTGGCAAGGTGTTCTTTTCATGAAATGCTGCTCCTTTTTTTCTCCAAACATGCCTTTGCTGATTGTGTCCAAAGAGTTCTATTTTAACTTCATCAGTCCACAGCACTTGTTTCCAAAACGCATCGGGCTTCTGTAGATGTCCTGTTGCATACTTCAGACGTTGGATTTTATGATGGGGACGCAGATAAGGTTTTCTTCTGCTGACTCTTCCATGAAGGCCTTGTCTGTGCAAGCATCGCTGCACAGTGGAACGGTGCACCACCACTCCTGAGTCTGCTAAATCTTCCTGCAGGTTTTTTGCAGTCAAATGGGGGTTTTGATTTGTCTTTCTGACCAGCATACGAGCAGTTCTGTCCGAGAGTTTTCTTGGTCTTCCAGATCTCATCTTGACCTCCACAGTTCCCCTGATCTGCCATCTCTTAATTACATTTCTTACTGTGGAAACTGCAAGCTGACAACGCTTTGCTATCTTCTTGTAGCCTTCTCCTGCATTGTGGGCATCAATAACTTTCACTTTCAGGGTCTTACACAGCTGCTTAGAGGAACCCATGGTTGCTGGGTGTCCACAAGTGTGTGCACAAGGTTTGAAGAGTCAAAGTATTTGTACAGCTTTGAAATTGGCATTTACCAATGACAGCTGTTGCTGTGCATCAGATCTAACGAGCTGATTAAGGTCTGATACCTTGTGAGAGACTTTGAGACTCTGGAACTCTTAGGGTGCCCAAACTTTTGCACCATGCCATAATCATGTTTTTATTTTTTATTTTTGTTCAATTTATGGCATAAGAAGTAACTATGCATCACTGTTTGCAGAAAATATTGTGCATTTTTTCCATTTCCAAGAGAAACTGTGTTAACATCTGTTCAAATAAAAAATCACCAAAATCTGTTATTTATCAAGGGGTGCCTAAACTTTTGCATAAGACTGTATCTGTCAACATTGAAACAGAGCAGACTACAGCAGACTTTAATTCTTACTAAATTACATTACTAATATATTTGATTCAACACAATGTCTAATAATTATCTTACTGATTTATTAATATCTAACACATCTGAAAATTGTTTTACACCTTTACAGTTGATGAGTAGAGATAGTAGACACTTGCATTATTCAGTGTCAAAGTTGCCATTTGTTTTAAAAATGGTCTCCAGGTTTTAATAGAAATAAACAAACCCCTAAATATCTCATGAAATATTAAAAAATATATATCTGAAGTTTGAGATCAATGACCAGGTTTTCTTGTACAGTGCAGTAATGCAGTGTCACAGTTTGGACTTTGATTCCTGTTATGTTTTTCCCCGTCTCCCCCCGTCGTTCTGCCTTGTCACATTAATCAGCCATTATTCCAAAAACCTGCCGCCCATTACCTCCCGGTCCTGCTGCATTTATATATGCCCTTTTCCCATCAGTGTTCGATGGTTCATTTCATTCATGTCCTGATTGTTCGATGCCGCTATGGTCGTTCCTGTCACATTCGTTACTGCAACGTTTCTACAGTGCTACAAAAACCTGCTTGCCAGCTATGGAGTGAGTAAACCCCAGCACTGTGTTTAAACTGCTGTCGCATCTGCCCAACCCAGTCCTCTGGTTCTCCTGGTTCCTGCCACTCCCCTGCTCACTCACCTGCACACCTTGGTCCCCCTGGAGTGCACCAGCCGACCCAGCCTACCTGAACTTTCTGTCCCCTGGCCCACGAGTTTCTGCCTGACTCTTCCCCTGTTCTGTTTTTATCTACCCATCTTGCTTTAGTTGACCAATAAACTCCTTTCTGTTGTCACTGCCCTTCTGAGTCTCAGAGTCTGCATTTGGGGCCCAACCTCACACACACATGCATGTGCACGCACATGCACACACACACGTCGTAACATGCAGGCTCACAGCATCTGCCACAATCTTACCACAGTCATAAATACCACACTGCTGTGTGGTAACTGCCCCTAGTTATTCAAACCCTTCTAAAATTTTTATATAAAAAAAAAAAACTATGTGTAATTTATTTTTTATAAAAACTACTAGTCTCAAGTTTTATTTCTCACATTTTTTTTCTTATGGCTCTGCCATTGATTGTTTAGCAGCAGTCATAATACTAACTGATTCTGGTGTCATGGGTCCTCATGTCTCTCCATCTGCAGGTCGTGGGATGAGTTCCATGACTGTGCAAACATGGCGATGGCTGGCTGTCCGGAGGAAGCAGCGGCTGTATGGGAGTCCCTCCGCCAGGAATCCAAAAAGATGCAGTTCTCTGGAAACCTCTATGACATGTGCTCCAGTCACAACAACCACCCAGCAGCCTCAGTCTCCCCTCATGGTTCACTCAACCAGGAAGAGATCAACCAGGAGTCTCTAAGAGGGCATGCCAATCATCTGGCGGGCTGCCTCCACACCCTCGTGCTACTGTCTCCTCTGCTGCTGCTGCTGTTTTTCTGGATATAACTCCTCTGAAGCAACTTAATTTTGTGAATAGATGTATATTTTAAACTCCACAGACTTTCCACTGTTTATTTTCCTCTGCTCTACCAGGGGCTGAATACTTCTAACTGCATGTTCAGAGGTCCAACAGTCTTTTTTGCTAATCTATCTTTAAACTACCTGTACAGTTTCACGCGTATTCTCTACCTTTGGAAACACACACAAAATTCATACAGATCAACAGCAGCCTCACATGCTGTCTTTATGTCCTATCTCCTTACCTATAGTTATTATAAGCTTCAATGTGTAATAACATCCAGCAATGGCAGTTAGCACTGTTGTCTCACAGTAAGAAGGTTCAATGTTGGAGTCTCAGCCAAGCCAGTGCTGTTCTGTGCAGAGTTTATATGTTCTTCCTGTGTGGGTTCTCTTTGGGTACTCTGGTTTCCTCCAAAGATATGCAGCTTAGGTTGATTGGCGACTCAAAATTACCTGTAGATGTGTGTGGTTGTCTGTCTCAGTTGGTTTTTCCATTATAGTAACCTACTGAAATGTGTCGTCCTGAGTAAATCTTGTCACAGGTTCTGCGTTTGTTCCCACTACTCAGCCCACTTTGGAGGTGCTACATTTTGGCACCACTGAGGACGTAGTACTAAAATCAGGTACCAGATATGTGAGGACGAAGGGGGTGCATGCATGCAGAGCAGCCGCTGGTGATTGGTTAAATGTCCAAGCATTAGCATTACAAACACCATGTGTAAACTCACAACTGACTGCATGCGTGAGAGGGGAGCAGCCCCTCCCTCCTCTTACCAACCAACAGAGAAAATACAGCAGAAAAACAAAGCAGGACAGTCCACATCAGCCCTGGAGGCTATACTTGGTGATGGTTAAGGGAAGTATATAATTACATAACATAGTATATATAGAAGTATAGCATTTGTTAGGTTTGTTGTTGCTGCTGCAGCCACATAAGTTTTGAGTAGAAGTTAAAGTGAAGTCAACATGTGCTGGAATTGTTTTTTATTTGGTGCTTGCCCTCATATGAAACCCTCTGGAGTTCCTTCTTGGCATCCTGCACTGTAGCTCTGTAGTATGGGACCAATATGTTCTTCGAACAGAATCACAATCCTGATGCATGCCAAGTGCATTTCATGCTCCAGGAGTCATAGTTTGGCTTTACTGAAGTTGCTTGTTATTCTAAGTGGCTGCAGGTAACAGTTGTTCTTGTCTGGCCCTGGATCAGAAATACTATCAGATTAGAGACAGACAGACTGAGAGAGAGAGGTGAGTACACCTGGAAAACAAATCCGTTCTGCCTATTTGAAGACTGAATCCACCTGACAGCAACGAGGTTGCTTTACACAGAGGGCTTAAGGTTATAGGTTTGCTCCTCTTTTTTCACAGAAATAAATCAAGGCTCCGCCGACTTTAAAGACTTAGTGAAGAGAGAAATGTGAAGAAGCACAAAACCAAATTCTCAAAGGCTTCAACAGGCTTCAATAGGCTGCTAACTTTTAGAGGGGTGTAAATAAATAAATAAAAATTGATTAGAGAGAACTGTGTGTCACTTAAACAACTGATTGAGCCTATCTACCTCTACAATGGCAACGTTTATTAAAAACACCCACAGGGCTGAATTAAATGGAGAGGTGTAGTAAGCAGATATAATGACAGTTATACAGTATAATAGTGGCATTTTTTTATTGTTTTACTTAGTTTGCCAATGTCAAACGTAACCATTTTAAGCTTTTGTTATTCTTTTCAAATGCTGATAAACCTATGAAGCCAGTAGCTATTATTTTCTGTGGGTAAATCCAAGTGCAAGGCCAAAGGAACTGAGCTAAAATAAAGAGCCCACAGCCAGAGATATACTTGGATGGTTTAAAGATGCTGCTGAAATGTTGAACTTTTAATTAGACTGACAGAAATAGCAATTCAAGGCCTCAGTGGTAGATTCACCAAGGTGTAGCAATTTGAAAACTACTGTATCTCCAAAGAACTTAAATACGATGTTGTCACTGGAGGTTAAAAAAGAGTAAACCATAAACTTGAGGCTACATTAGAAAATAGGACCAGATGTTTACATTAATCCAGGCTTATAGTGAGTTTACCCGCTATTCATCATAAGCTCACTTATGATAGAATTTTTTTTTATAGGAATATAACTTGTTCATATTAGATTTTGAAGTCTGTTTACTCAGAGGTGTTGCTTTCATTGTGGCCTAAAACACACACAAAGAAAGTCATGAAATCAAAGGAAGGTGGACAAATCAGAGTGGTTTTCAATAACACTGCAGTATATATACAATGTTATTGACCAGAGAATTAGTTTCCAGCACCACATGGGAGACTATACTCTGGTAGCAGCTGGGTGCTCTGACAAATAGGTAAAATTGGACAAGAAATGACTGCAGGAGAATGAGAAACATTCTTAAACACCAATACATCTTTGTCACATTAATGGTACAGTATATATTTGTTATACTGTGAATAAACAGCAGTAGAAGTGTTAACACAGAGGTATCTCTTTAGATGGGTTTCCATTTACAAAAGTCATTTGTAGCACTGAGATAAAAAAAAGACAACAACATAGTTCCACAATGTCATAATTTCTTATATATGGATATTTTTATTATTTAAAAATAAAGCAGCTTCCTTGAAATCCAAGTAATTACTGTTTAGAGGTGAATTTGTATACAGCACACATTGCATTGCATGCATTTTTTAAGCACATTGCACTTCTGATAGACAACTCTGGCAGCTAACATGACACATATTCCACAGAGAAATGTCAACTTTTAGCAGTGAAAATGCATAATGAAGCTGTAAACAAAGCTAGCTTCAAAGGTAGAGGAAGAGCTAAACTAGCTGTTTCTCCCTGCACAAGTCTTTATCATAAACTAAGCTGAGCTAACAAAATCCAGAGTCCAGCTCCTTAAGGACCAACTCACTGACATGAGTGTGTTATCCACATACTGTATGTTGTCATCCAGCTCTCTAAGACAGCATCTATTTTCTAGAAATGTAAAGCACATAACACCTTAAATACAGTGGTCAAAGCAACAGTGAGAAGTTGTAATATCAAGCATGGGACATACTCAACTTGAGGTTCACAGTCAGTTGATACAGCTGTCATTCAGTGGAACTATGTGCTCAAATTCAGGTCTGTTTTTTCAATCATATTTGCTTCCAGTAAATATATGTAAAATCACAGTAAAAAAACAAAAAATATTCTGTGTGTAATACCCCAGTTCTTTAATTGGACAGCTCTGAATAACGAAGGAGTCCATCTTTCTTCATTTAGTGCTGATTTATTTTAACTACAAGTAAAAATTATAAACATGACCCGGGTTGCTCCCCCTTCCAGAGACACACACACTGGCTGCTGGAAAATGGAGTCCCTGGCCACACAGAGCCTAATACATTTATAAGTTTTGGGCAAACCCCTTACCCAGATGTAGTCAGTCCGAAGACTCCATCTCTTATCTAGTGCTCCACAGGCTTGGAGCAGCTGCATTTCTACCTAGTCATAAATAAATTAAAAATTTCAATGTGTATGTATGTTGTCACGTGGTGTGTAGCTAAGCATTCATTCAGACATAATATTCTAACACAAGGTTAATACAGGAAAGAATTGGTCCCATAAGTAACTGTAGCTCACATTTCAGAATCAACACTCTGTCTGCTAACCTTGAAATAAAACAGACTAAAGCAGACTTCTGGAACAAATATTACTAAACTGCACCCTTAGTGTTGAACAATTATCTAACATGTGTATCAGGCCAATCCCAGCCAGCATCGGGCAAGAGGCGGGGTACACCCTGGACAGGCCACCAGTCCATCGCAGGGCTTAAATGAAAATCATGCTTGTAATTCAAGCTATGTATCATGGGACTACAAACAACATGAATAGGTCAAGCAGAATAAAGCAGAATATACATACTGTGTTAAAATGACTAGTCCAACAGGACACATGCTGGATTAACATTGTTTTGTTCAATCTTTAGTCATATATGCAGCAAACTGTAAAAAAAAAAAAAAAAAAAAGTAGAACCTAAGCACAGACCTAGTGGCGATATTTAAGTCAGTTCTTTGTCCTTCTCTCACTATATTGGTGTCTTTGTACTGTGCGTAGTGTGTAATGTGTGTGTAGTTGGTGGTTGTTTTTTGTGTTCAAGGCTGTGTGTAAGTGTGGGCAGAAAGAAACATCCAGTATGCCACTGTAATGTCAGTTAGCTTGTTGAATTAGCCATTTATCCACACAACATACAGACAACAGTTTCATTGTTACTGAATAAACTGCTCTGTTTCAGCACTATGTAGACAAAATGTCACTTCCTAGCCTTGTTTGTTTGTAGACATAGCATGCAGTGTTGAGCTTCCTTTGCTTTTTCATGTGTGAGAAGCAGAATAGCAGAACAAGAGCCAGCATGTACATATATGATCCTGTGACTTGTGTTTACACTGTGCTTACATCACACATTTGAAGCTGAGAGAAAGAGAGTGTGTTCCTATGGATGAAAAACCATCCAGGCCGGCTACGCAGTGCCACTGCTGCAGAGCATTTCATCAAACAGAATGGAGATCCGAACATCTGGGATCATGGATGGAGGATGGACTTTTTCCAGGGATGTGTTGGACTTAACCGTCCTGCATGTTCGTTTCTGAGGAAGAGTCAAAGTCATACTCCACAGATGAAAGCAAAAAGCTACACCACAGAAGCTCTGTGTACACTCTGTGCTGTAGCTGTATTTTTCCTGTAGACAGTAATGACAAGCTTTGTATTGTACATTAGTGCATACCGCCAGGATTCCTTTCAAATGTGCTATGCTTTCAAAAAAGAACTTGAAGGTTGCCTTTAGTTATATCCTGCTTTTTCCTTTTCCTTCTTTTCTTTGACCATCTGTCCCCTCTTTCTGTTTCCTTTACAGGCATTTTCTCTACCCCTCCATCCATATGTAGTAGGCTTGGCTAACTTTCTAGAAAATCATTAAATTGGTGCTAATTGTGTGACTAATTGAGTGCATTCATTTTTCTTTTTAAATTTCAAATGAAAAAATGTAGGGAATTACAGCATGTACTGGGTGAAACAGAGTGGGATTTTTACATTATGTACTTGTCCTCAGCATTTAAGCCATGGTAGTGTTTTCTAAAGCAAGCTGCAGTGATTCAGAACTAGGCTGTTTTTGGAGTACTGAAGTACTTACTACAAGGTTACTCCCATTAAGTGTTCATGTTTGTCATTACCCTTTTTTCTGCATCTTCCTACCTCCCCCTTCCCCACTCCATGCAGGGGGCTCTGCAAGTGCTTTGAAGCCTTTCTCCCCAAATCGCATTTCATGACGATAGTTATATACAGTAACCCAAGTCGTGGGGAGGCGACAGTGGCAGGGTTAGAGCCATCGGTTGAGTTGGCGCCGCAGATGGCTTCCTCGGTTCTGTACCGGAAACAAATTCCTTGTGTGTAACATACTTGGCCAATAAAGGTGATTATCCTTATCCTTCTATGAATATAGGCATAGCCCTCTAAGAGCTACCGCTTTTGGGTTTATCCCTTGCGCATGTGCAATCCTGAGTCCTGAAGTGATTTTTTTCGCGCCTTGTGCATTGAACTGGGCTCTCTCCACTTAGGTCCGCTGTGGCCGAATAAAGCCTATGTGTCCTGAGTTCGGCTCCCCATGCCAGCGCTTTTCCGTCAGCCGGCAGAGGTAGAGACAGTGGGGCTGCAAGCTTAGAGGGCTACGCCTATACTCATAGAAGCTTGGGTTACTGTACGTAACCATCGTTCTATTTCATATATAAGTTTTGCCCTCTAAAAGCTGTTGCTATTGGGATAAAAGCGCAGCTCAATGTAATCAATGCCCCGCCACCACCCAAGAGCATTATAAACAACATTACAGCTCGTCGTGATATCCCGCAATAGCAGCCCAAGTACAACATCCTCTCTCCTGCAACAGGCCTTGTCTGAGAAGCAGGCACAATCATGCCCATATAGAACCTGACTACCACTATGAGAAGGCAGGGGCAGCTGTTGTGTTTTTCAGAGAAGGATAAGTGTGTTACGTCTGTGACTCTGGCCGCCCCATGTACCTCTGTAGCAGGCACAGGTAGCAGCTCCGCCCCCGCACAGGTGAGGGTGCATTCCAGGCAACGAGGCACACCTGCTCTCCATTATCGGAGCAGTATATAGGGTCAGCGTTGGTGCATCCTCGTCGCCAGATTATTATGTATTATTCTGGTGGTAACCGCCTCCATGTTCATGCCAAAGTTTATGGACCATTGTTTGAGCTACGCTCCTTCGACAACATTGTGAACTCTTATTTCGCATTAGTCTGTGGTATCGGTTTTCGTGCCCTTCACACGTGTAAAGGGGTTTTTGGTTTTTTGGACTGCTTTTGTGAATTGCTCCAACTCTCAGAGCTCCTAGGCTATCCTGGAACAGCGACCACCATCCTACATCGCACCGCTCAGCTACCAGCGCTGCCTCATCAGGGGACCCACACACCAACCCGAGATCTCTGGCACCAGTCTCCTTCTCCCTGGATTACTCCCTGGGCCTGCGGCGCACTCAGCTGTTCAGGTCCCCAGAGTGACTACCAGAAACAATCTGTTCTATACCTGCTGCTTGTTCTTACACTCTTGTTGTTCTTATGTAGCGAGCAACGCCTCTCATTCACCCCGGGAGACAGTAGTCCAGTCAATCCAGTGTGCCCAGCTGCCCCAAGATCAGCGGACGAGACCGGCTCTGTTTTGTTTGTTATTTTTGGAGCATTAAATACGTTTTCTTTTCTACCTGGGTTCGAATCTGCATTTTTACTGGGTCCTAAACAACTCACACACAGCTTAACGTAACAAAGTGCAGGGAAGGACACAAAGTGAGTGCGTGCGCCTGACAAAATCCACAGAAAAATAGCTTGTGGAAGCAGGCAGACGAGAGTTGACACATGGTGCAGTCAGATACTCTAGCAAAGAAAGCCAAATATGAAAATATAATACCACAGTGCAGGGGGTTGTTGTTATATTGATCTTTGATTTTAACAGTTGCTACTGGAGAAATTCTCCTCTACCAACTTCATACTTCTGGACTAATGTATTAAATGGTATAAACTGGTTGTTTTCAAATAGATGATGAAGGTGAGTGATTCCTTTGTGTTGCCATGTTGTAGTTGAGGTTTAAATGTTCTGACAGCCTGGGGGAAATACCGATGCCTAAATATTTAATTTTTAATGCCAGTGTGAAATGGTAGGGGATAGTCTTGAGCTGTAGAATCCAAGGCATCTTCAGAGAGTGGCAATATGGTGGGTTTATTCCAGTTTATTGTGGAGAAAGTTTCTCGTAGTGAACTGTAGGGGCCCTGTAGATATAATAAATAATCTGCATAGAGGCTAATTTTTATGTTGTGAGTTAGTATCTTGTATTCCTTTGATGCTATTATTTTGATGTATTGCTGCTGCTAGGGGTTCAATGCAAATGGCAAATAGAGATGGTGAGAGTGGGCATCCTTGTGTAAGATTTGAGTCTTATAGACTCTAGTTACTTTATCAGTTTTAGTTACTTCTCATGCCTTCAGTTCCCTTTAGTTACCTTTCATAATTTTATCTTATCTGACTACAGCTGTATTGATTATTGTGCATTACTGAGCCCTGGTTATTTTCTAATACATTCATTCTCCTTGCTTATATGTCTTACAATTTGAATGAGGTAGAATCTGCTTACTTTCTATAACCTTTGAATGTCTGCATCTCCCAGGCAACCAGACGACCTATTTACATCTCAACAAAGCCCCACTAGTCCACACCTGGACACACTAAGCATATCCCAAGTTCTGCCCCACCAGGGGGTATCTTGCACACACAGAGGGTTGTATCACCTGAAGACGACCACTTGGCCAGCTTATTGTCTCAAACACACACACACACACACACACACAC